CTGTGAAGCTGTTGTTTCTTAGTACATCCTCCATGTGGATCTGTACACTTAAGGAGGCGGTGTCTTCATCTCCCTAACCCTTTCCTGGAGGATGCTGAGTGCTCGATTTATATCAAAATGGCAGTTTTGGCATCCTCAGAGGACTCAAATTATGTTCCTTTTTAATGTTCTTTAAGGTTTTGGAAACAAAGCGAAGTCTGAGCAGGTAAGTGCAAAGTTGTAGGGTGAATGGGGGTGGGGAGGGTAAGGTTTCACAACAAAATCCTCATAAGACAGCCCTTGTTGCCCTCAAAGAATGAACAGGTGCATTGTTGTGATGGGTTAAAAAAAATTCCTTGGTGCAACTTCCCTGACCTTTTTCTCACTGATGCAGATTTCCATTTTCTTAAATTTTAGTCCTTTTGGGGTCCCCCAAAACTCCCATAACCTTCTGAGCTGATCCCTCTGCCATGAATTTAGCTGACCCAGCAGATCCCCTTGGAAACCACTATTTTCATTGGACCTTTGCTTTCTAGATGGTAGTAGTAGATCCAAGACTTATCCCCAGTTACCATTTGTTCCATAAAGCCATCTTTGTTCGCTTCAATCTTGCTTTTAAAACATTGGTGGAATGGTCAACTCTTTGATCTAGCTCATCTTTATGCTTTGGCACCATCTAGCCAAAAGCTTGCCAAAATGTTCCTTTAAAATTGAAAATGTCGAACCATGTGCGATCCCAACTTCAGATGCTGTCACATCCGTGGTACTTCTATGATCTTCTTTTACCCGTTTCTGTGCTTCAGCCACAGTTTCTTCCTTCATCAGAGCTAACAGTCTTCCCTCACTTGACTCATAATTGCATCTTACTGACCGTCCTTAAAATAACTGATTCATCCAGAAACTATTGTTTCATGTGGGGTAGTGTTCCGTAAGCTTGTTGCAAAGCTTCAGTGATTTAGGAAGATGCCTACTTGAGTTTTATTTAAAATTTGGTTATTAGCACTGACCTCAAAATTGTTTTTCGTCCCCATGACACAAATGGTATCTTTTTATTTTGAAGGCACCCTAACAAACTTGGACAAGCATATTATGGAGAGAATTTGTCTGCAGCCCTCCAGTGATCGTTGTTGTTGTTGTGAAGTGCCGTTGAGTTGGTTCCAACCCATAACGACTCTGTATAGGGTTTCCAAGGAGCAGCTGGTGAGCTTGAACCACCAACCTTGCAGTTCAAATGGCTTTGCAGTCTGGCGCATTAACCCACAGTGCCACATGCTGAGTGCCACATGTTGAGATATTTGAAATGGACCCATGCATGTATGAACTGGAACTCCAGTAATAGTACTCTGTCTCACCTCATATAATATACTCATTTGTGTTTCTGTAAGGAGCTCTGGTAGCGTACTGGTTACAAGTCAGGCTGCCAACCTCAAGGTCAGCAGTTCGAAACTACAAATGGTTCTGTGGGAGAAAGATGAGGCATTCTGCTCCTGTAAATATTTACAGCTTCAGAAACCCTGTGCAGGATCACTATGAGTCGGAACTGACTCCACAGTACTTAACAACAACCGTACATTTGGAGTCCTGGTGTGGTGTTAAGGGTCAATGCACTGGACTGCAAGGTCGATTTGAACCTCAAGGTCAGCGGTTCAAAGCTCACCAGCCACTTCTTGGAAATCCAATTCAGGGTTGTTATGAGGCAGAACTGACTCAGTGGCATTTAACAAGAACACCAACCTTTCATTTGTAAGCTCCCTCTCATTCCTTCCTGTTCTCAAGGAATTCTTCATGAAACCAGCCACATTTTAATTATTAATTCACTGTGATGAACATTTTAGCAGTCTCCAGTTGGAGCTATTATGAATAAAATACAGCTTTGAACATCCATCTCATCTTTTGGGAAACATATGATGCTTTTCTCTTGGGGTCATGCCTACCACAGAATTGCTGTTAATGTGCTCAGCTGCTAGCTGTAAGGTTGATGATTTGCGGTCACCCAGAGGCACTGCAAAAGGAAGACTTGGCAATCTGCTTCTGACTGGAAACCGTGTGGAGCTCAGTTCTAGTCTTACACACTGCAGGGAGCCTTCTAGTCCAGGGCTGCCACGTGTCAGCATTTGACTCAACAGCTGTTGGTTAGAGTTTGCACACAACAGATTTTTCAACCAGCCTCATTTTATTGTCTTCTTTCTTTTATTTTAAAAATATTTTCCAGTATTATAGACATTTTTTAAATACACAGGAAAGTTGAAAAGCATCTGACCATGCACACCCTGGGCCCCATCATTTTACTACGTTGATCTTGCCATGTCTCTCTCCTTCTGATCGCCTCGTCTCTCTCCAACCTGGTTGGTAGTTAAGGAATGGAATGTGCCATCCAAAACTGACTCCATGCATGCCTTGCTGGTGGACTCTGGCACTTTCAGAAGATTTGGGGAAGGCTTGTCAGAAGATCATTTACTCCTTGTGCCACAAGCACATCCGGAGCAAACTGAAGCCACAGCTGATGCAGGTTCATGAGAGGCCACTGTGTCCTCCCAGCATTCTCCAGAGGAATGAAATCTCTTTGCTCCTACTGTAATCCCTTCAGGTTTCCAGTGTAGACATGTGTGTTGGAGAGTGTTAGAAGGGATGTCCTCACAGTACCTTGCTTGCCATCTGCATCCTCTTACAGTGCTTCCATGGGATCTCACGGTCCAGCTGACTGCATTTGGTTGGTTGGTTATGTGCCATGGAGTTGGTTCTGACTCATAGAGACCCTGTATAGGGTTTCAGAGGCTGTAAATCTTTACAGTAGCAGAAATCCTCATCTTTCTCCCACTGAACAGGTGGTAGTTTTGAACTGCTGAGCTTGAGGTTAGCAGCCTGACTCATAACCACTATGCTACCAGAGCTCCTTATCTGACTGCATGCTTTCTGCTTAATGTGTAAATCCCGTTAGGAACACTAACCTGGTCTGGATTTTCCACTGGGAGGTGCTGCTTGAAGTCACTTAGTGTTGCGTTCTTCACAGAAGGTGGAGAAGTAGAGGGCCCAACCATATCTCAGCATCAAGACAGGCATATAGGTGTGTCCCTGCACACAATATGTGCAAACACATGCAGAGGTGTAGAGAATTAGAAACCATAGCGACTTGTTCAAAGTTCTGTCTCCAGTTTTATTTCTTGGCAGTTCGAAACTACCAGCGGTTCCGTGGGAGAAAGATGAGGCATTCTGCTCCCGTAAAGATTTACAGCCTCGGAAACCCTGTGCAGGGTTGCTATGAGTCAGAACCGACTCCACGGCACTTAACAACAACAACAATGTTGCATCTAATATAATTTTCCTCTAGTTGCTGTTACTACTGACTCCTGGAAACCCCATGTGTTCCAGAGTAGAATTGTAATTTAGAATGTTTCAGTGACTTGCTTTTTTTGGAAGCAGGTTTTTCTTCTGAGGTGCCTCTGGGTGGACTTGAACCTTCAACCTAGTAGCAACTGAGTATGCTAACGGCTTATACCAGTAACACTTAGAGCCAGATTTTCCTGATGGCAGTGGGGTCTGTCTGTCTGTCAGGGGGAATCAGAAGAGGCAATGACCACCCAGAGCAGAGAGAGAAGGAAGCAGCTCAGTAGGGCCCCAGTTAAATTGAGCAGACCGTGGGATAAGGACAAAACTTCTGCTGAAACACTCTTGAGAGGTCTGGCTCTGGGGAGGTACTGGAAGGAACAGCAGGAGGCTCACCTGGAGCCCATGAAAGGCTGTACTGGTAAAAGATGTTAGGGAGGTCACGGGCAGCCCTCAGTGCCTGTGGTGATGATGATGGTGAGGGGAAGGGGCTGGAGATGACACTGAACACAGCTGGGTTTGGTAGATTTGGCAGTGTTTCCATGGTATGCAGCATATGTGGCTAAGCTGGAGCAGTGGGGTGGTCCCAGAGAGTGGCACTGCCCTCCATTTGCTGAACATCTAGCCTAGTGCTTGTGAGAAAGTGAAGACAGCAAGAGTGGCATCTTCCCTCCTTGGCCCAAAAATCTGGTTAGTTCCATGTCCCTAGTCTTCAGTAGGGATCCAACTTTGAGAAGTAATGTGTGTTTCTGAGTCACATGTTGTTAGTGTGGAGCAGTAGTCTCCACTGGTCATCCTGACCGGGGCACCCCTCAGTGAGAAGAACTGGTCACGCAGTGTTGGCCTGGAGTGGCTGGGCTAGTCAGGATCACAGTCAGAGGTGGCCAGTGGCTGTCCCCAGAATGGATGTCTCTCTCTTCAACAGGGGCTGAATCACAGTAGGAGTCACCTGCTTTCCTTTTGTACTTGCTCACATTTTGGGTTCTTTCCTCATTACTTTGTGCTTGTGTTTATGCAGCTGTGTGTGTGCATGCACATGCATGCATGTGCCTCCACACACATTTTAACCTTCTCTCTGGTCCTCTCAGACTGTTTTCCTTGCTGTATATTAAAGGAGTTTGAAAGCAAAGTCTCCCAATTTTTTCTCATTCCCCTGGAAGAAAGCCAATGGATGGAGCTTTGTTGCTCTCAATGAATCTCCCCATAATTCACCAAGTCTCTTTACCTCTGTCCCAGGCTGCCCTGTGCTTCTGGGAGCGGGTGCCTGAGTGGGGCTCCCCCTAGACTTGCCATCATTAGGGGTCACCGGGAGGGTTCCTGGGTCTGCAGCCTCTGTGCCCTGCTCCTCAGTGCATGATTCTGTGGAGAGGATATGGTGAGAACTCAGCCAAGGATTAATTCAGTGTTTCTCAAATGGAGAGCAAATGAGCCACCACATTCCACATTGTCCTGATTATACCCCTTTCTCTTCCCTTTCTTTCAGCATTTTCTCCAAAGACTGTATGGAGCGTGCCGTTTATACAACACGTGGGCATTGAGAGCTGAACTGTCAAGCGTGGCTCCTCTCTGTCCTGGAGGACTGGGAAATGAGGGTCCTTCACGGCCCTGTTGGACACTGGCTCTGTGCTGAAATGCTGTCACGGCCCTAGGGCTCTGAACAGCCTCCCACCTCTGCAGCCCACCCCTGCCCTGGGAGGATGTGCGTCCCCATGCCGGGGCTGCTCACAGCCCTAGCTGTAGTGTTTGGGACAGCTGTAGCGTTTGCACCTGTTCCTCGGATCACCTGGGAACATAGAGGTGAGCATGCCTGTGGCCCTGTAGGATGGGGTGGGGGTGGAACAGTTGTCCCTGTACCCACAGTGCTAAGTACGTGACTCTACGTTGATGCTCATAATGCTGATTAACTCCATGTTCCTAGGAGTTCCTGGGTGTCAGCAGAAGGTTTGGGGCTTGACTGCTAACCATAAGGTTGGAGGTTCAGTCCCACCAGAAGAGTCTCAGAAATAAGGCCTGACTTGCTACTTTCAAAAGGTTAAAACCATGAAAACGCTATAGAACACTGGAACACTTTTCTGCTTAGACACACAAGGTAGTCACACATGAGTTGGAATTGACTCAGCGGCCACTGGTGTTTTGTTACACTCCTAGAACTCTGAGAGATGCCTTGTTGTTGTTGTTATGTGCCGTGGAGTCGATTCTGACTCATAGCGACCCTGTACAGGGTTTCCGAGGCTGTAAATCTTTACGGGAGCAGAAAGCCTCATCTTTCTCCCGCGGAGCAGCTGGTAGTTTCGAACTGCTGACCTTGAGGTTCGCAGCCCGATTCGTAACCACTACGCTACCAGAGCTCCTTAGGTCACTAGAAACATTTGCAAAGATATGCTCAGAACCCCTGATCTGATGGTTGAACGCGATTACAATTTGCACACTCAGGGACTGCTCTCTGTTATCGAGTTTGACTGTTGACAGAATGGTTGGAGGTTCAAGTTCACTTAGAGTTGCTTCCGAAGAAAGGCCTAGTGATCTACTTCTGAAAAATCAGCTACTGGAAACCCTCTGGAGCCCAGTTCTTCTCTGACACACTTGGGGGGCCCTGAGTCACACGGACTTGCTGAAAACTGATTTCTAAAAGGAAGCCTTTGGCTCTTGCTTCTGACAGCGCTTGCTCACACTGCTGAGAACAAGGCACTTCTTGGCATTGGCCCCTGAGCAGTGAGCAGACCTCTGATGTGGTTTCAGGACAGCTCAATTGTGTGTGGAGCTCAACTTTTTGCTTTCTGTTAGTTAGTGTCTGTTTTGTTTATTTCCACTATTGGAGATATGTCCTGAGAGCCCCTGTGTTTCTGGTTTGATGGATTGAGAGCTTAAAATACCTGCTCTTGAGCACAGGGTGTTGAGTGCAGGGCAGAGAGGACAATGCCGTGAGTCACAGATGCAGCAAGAGAGTAATTCCACCCTTTGTGTGTGTCACTGTCTCTCTTTGATATTGGAAAACGAGAAGAACAGAAAGCATTAAAGTAAATTGACATTTGGTGATCTGTGGAAAGCCATCCTTGTTCACTCACATTGAAGCTAGAAGGGTCACAAAGAAGGAAAAGTTCTTGAAAAAAAAACCTCATTCCTTGGAAACAGTAATGGAAAGTTTTTATCAGTCCTATTAGTTAAATGCCTCATGCTCCTAAATATGATCGTAAATTGACACAATTGTCTAATGTGTAAAAAATGTCTCACTTTTCCTGGTTTATAAGTTTGTTGTGATTATCGCTGAAAAATGCTTTGTTATTGTTTAATGCAATGGTGTTGGTTCCAACTCATAGCAACCCTGCACAGGGTTTCCAAGGAGCGGCTGGTGGGTTTGAACTGCTGCTCTTGTGGTTAGCAATCTAATACTTATCCTATACCATCACACCAAGACTTAGCTGGAGAAATATTGTCTCTGTAATTAATTTTTTAAAGAGTTTGAGATAAACCACTTTTTTTCCTGAAGAAGAAAATTCTAAATAGTTGTATTCTTCATACACCTCACCTCAGGGTGATTTTTAAGAAATCACAAATAAGACTTTACTGGAAGGGTGGAAGCTGTGGACCTCCGTGGATAGAGGCCTCTTCCTTGTTGGTGGACCCAGTGGGTTTGGAATGTAACGGGACTTGGTGAGCAGGAGGGAAGTCATGTGTATGGCAGGGGGTGGGGGACAAGGGGGCGCGGGGCATAGGGCTACTTGGGTCTTGACACAGGTGTTGGCCGTCTGTGCCAGAGACCAATGCTGCTTCTACAGTGAATGCATCACCAGGCTTTTCTTCCAAGGTGCCTCTAGGCAGACTCAAACTACCAACTTCTCAGTTAGCAGCCAAGCAAATTAACTGTTTGCACCACTGAGGACTCTGTTGGTACACTGAGACACACTGAACTATAACCAGTTTGTCAAAGCACTGAATTTGTTTCTCCTTCCCTCCTACAGAGGTCGGTCTGGTGCACTTTCACGAGCCAGGCATCTTCAACTATTCGACCTTACTGCTCAGTGAGGACAAGGACACTCTGTACGTGGGTGCTCGCGAGGCTGTCTTTGCTGTGAATGCCCTTCATATAGCTGAGAAGCAGCATGAGGTAGGAACTTAGACTTTGCTCTCCACGAGGGCTATGCTCTTTTTGGGGTGGTGCTGTTCCTTTGCCTAGTGATCTGCCTCACAGATGTGCTACCCATCTGCACACTGGGCTATGAGAGTGTGGTCTCTAGGTATGTGAAGGCTCGCTGATCCTGTTGCCCCTCTGCCTGTGTCTGTGTCCCGGGCAGCCCAGCCTCTGTTTGTGGACCGACACAGCTCTGTCCTCTCCTGTGCCGGCAACCACAAACCAGAGGCCATCCTCTCATCCAGCATCTTCTTATCTCACTGCCTGCATTTTCTGTATTTTTTTTTTACATAGACTTTGTTTTTTAGGGAAGTTTTAGGTTTACAGAAAAATTGCTTAGAAAGTACATAGAGTTTTAGATACACGCTCTTCGCCCTGTACATACTTTCCCCTATTCCTAACATTATTCAAATGTCCTGTGGTACATTTATTACAACTGATGAACCAATATTACTACATTATCATGTGCCAGGGTTGTATTCTTTTACCATACTTACTCAGCCTGTATGCTGAGCAAATAATCCGAGAAACTGGATTATATAAAAAAGAACATGGCATCAGGATTGGAAGAAGACTCATTAACAACCTGTGATTGCAGGTGATACAGCCTTCCTTGCTGACAGTGAAGACTTAAAATATAACGATCAAAGACCACAGCCTTCATTTGGTGTGGGTTGCACCTCAATGTAAAGAAAACAAAAATCCTCACCACTGAACCAGTGAATACCATTGTGATAAATGGAGAAAAGATTAAAATTGTCAAAGACTTCATTTTGCTTGGATCCACTATCAACACTCACAGAGTCAGCAGTCAAGAAACCAAATGATTTATTTCATTTAGACACATCTGCTGCCCAAGACCTCTTTGAAGTATTCAAGAGCAAAGATACCAATTTGAGGTCTAAAATGCACCTGACCCAATCCACAGTATTTTCAGTAGCTTCTTATGCATGTGACAGTTGGACCACGAATAAGGAAGACCATAGAAGAGTTGGAACATTTGATTTATGGTATTGAAGAATATTGAAAGTACCATGGACTGCCAGAAGAACAAACAAATCTGTGCTGGAACACAAACAAACTGTACTTGCCAGAGTGCTCCTTAGAAACCAGGATGGTGAGACTTCAAGTCTCATACTTTGAACATTTTATCAGGAGAAACCAGTTGCTGGAAAAGGACATCATGGTTGATAAAATGGAGGGTCAGCCAAAAAGAGGAGAAAGCCCCTAACAAGATGGATTAGCGCAGTGGCAACAACTGTGGGCTCACGCGTAACCACGATTGTGAGGATGGTGCAGGACTGGACAGTATTCGTTGACTGCATCTGACAACAACAATAGTCATCCACTAAGTTTGTTGTTCAGCAGTTCTGTGGGTTCTTTCATATACATAAGGTCCTCCATTCCACTCCTGTACAGAGTAGTTTCACTGCCCTGGGTGCTAACCACTCATTGTTCATCTTTTGTTTGTAAAGATTTTACTTTTAAACTTTTTATTAATGGAAAATGGCATATGGAAGAGTAGAGAAAATGATATGATGAACCCGTACCATTGTCATTTCAGCATCAGCCAGGCAGAACCTTCTCTTCTGCCCCTCTGCCCCACCCCCTTCCTCTGAATCTGGCAGCTCTGAACTGGATCCCAGACATCACATGCAGCGTTTGTGAATGTTTTCATGAACTTGTGGAAGCAGCAGTCAAGAAATCAAATGACATACTGCACTAGGCACATCTGCTGCACAAGACCTCTTTGAAGTGTTCAAGAGCAAAGATGTCACTTTGAGGTCTAAGTGTACCTTACTTAAGAACTTTTTTTATCCAGATAACTAAAATGCCTTTATCGTATACAAAAATAAATAGTAACATCATCATATACTCCGTCAGTGCCCAAATATTACCAGCATGCTTACAAATTAATTCATTATTTTGAAAATTGGTAGGTAAAGGCCAAGAATTAAAACATTTATCCTGTCTTTGCAAAAGGCACTGACCCAAGCAGGGGATAATAGGAATTTTTATGTTGTTGCCTGAAGGGGGGGACCGCAGTCATTGAGGTGAAACAAAGTGTATGATTTGTTGAATGTAAAACTGATGATCTTGTATGTAAACCTTCGCTCAATTCAGTTCACAGTGAAAAGTTTAAAAAAGTCTATCAGCCATTGAAAACTCTGTGGGGCGCAGTTCCACATAAGTCTTGACACATATGGCATCACCATGAGTTGGAATCAACTCAGTGGCAACTAGCTATTATATGTATGTGTGTATATATGGCTATGTATGCACTTAACTGGAGAAAGTGAGACTTTCAGCTCTCACAAAGAGTCATAGCCTCGGAAATCCTACACAGGTTCGCTATGGGTCAAAACCAACTGAACAGTGTATAACAACAACCGCATACAAGGCACATGGTGGCTCAATAAGTAGAGCGCTTATCTGCCAACTGAAGGTTGACAGTGTGAACCCACCAACACAAAAGACCTGGCAATTTGCTCCCATAAAGATTTCCGCCTAGGAAGCTCTCTGGGGCAGTTCTGTGTACTCTGGTATATATCGTATAAGGTCGCTGTGAGTCAGAACCCACTTGATGGTACACCACACACACACATAAGTTATAGCCTATATTGCAGGGAGGTGGGCATGAGCATGAAAGCTGCTTATGGGGGAGCTCTGTGCCCTTGGTTTTCTGTTGCTTGCCTCTGGCCAGGGGCTCTGGAGCTGAGTGGCTAGGACACCCACTTGCTTCCCAGTTTCCCATTATGTCTCTACCTTGATTAGAAAAAAGAATGCTCACATTAAGATCATTTGGTTCGCTTTTCAAAAACTCAAAGTAACTGGCAACGTATTGATTACTCTTGGGCTCAGCTTGTAGTGAAGAAGCACTGAACCTACTGGGAATGGTGCTTGCTCTGACTGGGTGTTTGCTTTGTCTCTCCTCACACAGGATTTATTTAAAGGGTATAATGATTGCACCATCCCATGGATAATTAAAGGAAATGTCAATATCTTTGTTTAAAAAAAACATCAGATTCTACAATTACTTTGAATAGATGAAAAAACAACTACAGTGTGATGTTTAAAAACATAGTTTAGCTCTTTGATAAATTTATTTCGCTCCACTTTTAGTAGCTTTAGTTTTTGCTGTTGATAATAAGAATTTAAGGACTGCTGATTTCTGGATAATGATCATCATTAAAAATTTCGGCAAGGGAATTCTGGAAAGAAGGTAACAGAAACAGACCATTGTTATGACCCTCCTGCAAGTACAAAAAGAAAATGGTGCTCGCTTTTGAGGGCCTCTGAATTGGCATGCAGTGAGGGACTGCAGATAGGCAAGAATCGGTGAATCAACAATGAGTTAGTTGCATGCGGTAGGAAAATTGCTTTTCCCATCTCCCTCTTTCAACCAAGTAGGCCACCAGCTACTGTGAACCAAGGAAACAGCCCTAGCGAAAGAACTTGCTAACTGTCATACCTCTTGCCTATACAAAGAGACAGGACCCAAAGCTTCTACTCTAAAATCAACAAAGCAAACCTCCTTGGTGTGCCAGCACCTCTACTACCTGGACACAGCCGGCTGCAAGTCCACTGAATCGCTACAGAAGGCCTTGCATTTGGAGTCTGCTCCCCATAATCTACACTCTCCCTGAACAACCCAAAGCTCAGGCCTCTTAGACAAACAGGACAGACCTCCCTGGGCTTCAGTTTGGATCTGTCTGCTCCCTCTTCCAGGTGGCACTGAGGACTACTAACTGAGGCTTCGGTGTACTAGGATGAAGGACAGTTGGCCAGTACTTCCCTGAATGCCAGCTCAGACATAAACAGGAGTTCTGCTGTGACACTGTAGGATAAGCACTTGACTGCAATGTTGGTTTGAACCTCAAGGTTAGCAGTTCAAATCCACCAGCCACTCCTTAGAAACCCTATACTTGCTACTCAGAATGTAACAGTAACAGCACAGAGCAGGAAGAAAGCCTTGGGCAAAACCAGAGGGCAATATCCAACCAGATAGGGGGCTCACTGGGTATAGCATATCGGACTATAAATGTGCTTGCAGAATGAGAAGGGGAAGGAATAGTAATCAGAGAAAGAGGACTCTGCCCCCTGATGGACAGATTGATTAGTGCAGCAATATCTCACCTGAGTAGTTGTACCCATGGGTGGATGAATTGTCAGTGTGTTTTCTGGTGTATTTGGGAGACACTGAAATTTGAAAACCTAAATCTGGGCCTTTGAAGTCTAATTAAACCAGGGAAGGAAAAGAATCTATAGCAGTGACAGAGAAAATGGTAAGAAAAGTTTGGAGGCTCTGCCCACTTTAGAGTTCTTTTTACAGAAAGTGTGGGCAAAAACACTGAATACAGGGGAAGAACTGAAAAAGTTAACACTTTCAAAATTCCCAATGCCCCAACAAACATTCACAAGACACACAAAAAAGAGAAACCTGTCCTATCCAAGTGAACATGATACTAGAAGTTAAAGCACATCTAGGGAAGAGCCATAATGAAAAACCTGGAAGGACATAGTACAACAACATTCAACATAACTTAAGGCTTAAGGGAAAAGCAGAAGTGGAGCTAAAATAAATAAGGAAAAACAATGGAAGAACAAAATGAGAATTTTAAACAGGCTACTACAACCAAAAGAGACAAAAACCATTGAAATGAGAAACAAAACAGAAAGAAAGAGTGAATTAGAGAAGATAGTCAAAATTACAGGGACTGCAGTGTAATGTATAGTCTACTCCATTGTACTTACATTATTTTCCAGCATAGACCACATGTTAGGTCACAAAAAAAAAGTCTCAGGAAATTTTAAAAGAATGAAATCTTGTAGTGTATTTTCTCTGATCACAGCGGAGTGAAGCCAGAAATCATTAACAGAAAGCAAAAACTATAAAGTGTGCAAACATATGGGAATTAAAAAAGACAAACCAGCCATGGGTCAAGGTAGCTATTGGAAAAGAAATCACAAAATTTCTTAGAGTCAAATGAAAAATGAAAGCGCAACATGCGAAGATGTACAGGATATAGTGAAGGCAGTATTTAGAGGGACATTTTTATCAATGAATGCCTACATGAGAAGGGGAAAAAAAGATATCAAATCAGCAGCCTAATTCAACAACTTCAGGTACTAGAAATAGAAGACCAAACTAAGCCTATACTGCCCAACAGAAAGGAAACAGCAAATATAAAAGCAGAAAATACAATCGAGCCCAGAAAACAACAGAATCAATAAAACCAGCATTTGGTTTTTTGAAAAGATCCACAAAATTGATTCACCCTTATCTAGACTGACAAAGAAGGTGAGAAGACGCATATAACCAAACAAGAAAGAGATTGACCCTGAAAGATTCTTGGAAGCACACAGTCTGCCTAAACTGACTCAAGAGGGCATTAAAATATTCAACAGACCTACAACAAATGAAGGGATTGAAGCAGTCATCTACCCCTCTCCACCTCATCTCCCCCAAAAGAGAAAAGTTAGGGACAAGATGGTTTCATTGGAGAATTCTTCCAAGCATTTACAAAACAATTGACACCAGCACTTAAACTCTTCCAAAAGATAAAGAAAGAAATATTCCTTAATTCATACTATGAACCAAAACCATAACCCTGATACCCACACCAAAGATGCCACAGGAAAAGAAAACTTACAGGCCAACTGTTGTTAAGTGCCATCAAGCTGAGTCCAACTCATAGTAACCCTGTATAGGGTTTCCAAAGAGTGACTGGTGAATTTGACTGCTGACCTTGCAGTCCAGTGCTTTATCCCACAGTGCCACACCAAGACTCTTGTCTTTTATAAATATACATGCAAAAATCCTCAGCAAAACACTAGTAATCGAATCCAATTAAAAAGAATCTTTGATCAAAAGGGGAAGAAATTAGAGAAGAATATTAAATCCTTTCTGAAGCCATGGTTCCTGGATGAACCCCTAAAACTATTGCAATGAGATAATCTTTCAACTTTAGATCAAAAGTATCCCCTGCAGTCTTCTTAAAACCAAACAGTAGGTTAGCTTAACTAATAAAAAGCGTTGTGCTCTTTTGAGAACTATCTATGTGAGATCACATTGATAGCAGCAACTCCAATGATTTGAAAGGAAATGTAGGAGGCAGTGAGATTGTGCTAATGGGGAGGAGTAACTCAGAAAAAGAGGATGAGAATGGTTGCACAACTCGAAGCGTGTAGGATCAGCACTGGACTTCACACCAGAAGGTCGACAGTCCAAACCCTTGGAAATTTGATACAGGGTTGCTATGAGTTGGAACTGACTCAATGGCACTTAACAACAACAAATGGTATATATTGTTTAGTTATTAGGTACTGTTGAGCCAGTTACAACTCACAGTAAGCTTATGCACAACAGAATGAAACACTGTCCAATCCTGCATCAACCTCACAGTTGTTAAGCTTGAGCCCATTGCTGCTGTCACTGTGCTAATCCATCTCTCCTTTTTGCTGACCCTCCACTTTACCAAGCATGATTTCCTTCTCCAGGTACTGGTCCTTCCTGATAATATGTTCAAAGTATGAGAAACAAAGAAGTCTCGCCATCTTGACTTCTAAGACACATTCTGGTTGTACCTCCTTCAACACAGATTTGTTTGTTTTCCTGGCAGTTCATGGTACTTTGAACATTCTTCTTCAACACTGTAACTCAAATGCATCAATTCTCCTGCAGCCTTCCATATTCATTGTCCAAGTTCCACTTGCATATGAGGTTTTTGAAAATACATATGACATCTTTGCTCTTAAACATGTAAAACTATTAAATTGGTATATGTTTTGCTGTGTATATTCTCAACCACACCAACAAAGTAAATGATATGTATATGGAATCCTGGTGTAGCACTGGACCGTAAGATTGGCAGTTCAAACCCACCAGTCATTCTTTGGAAACCCTATACAGGATTGCTGGATCGGAACCAACTGGACGGCACTTAACAACAACATACGCATTGTTGTTAAGTGCCGTCAAGTCAGTTCTGACCCGTAGTGACACTGTTTCCGAGGAGTGGCTGGTGAGCTTGCACCACTGAACCTTGCAGTTCAAACCGACTTTGCAGTCCAGTGCATTAACCCACAATGGCACACCAGGACTCCACCATGTATATATAAATTCACTGAGGCCCCAGATTTCTCTCATTCTGTGAACCTCACTTTTCAGTTTGAGATTGTACTGTCTCGGATAAATGTCTAGCCTCTAAACTATGTTAGATTGCTTCTTGTCTGTACATTTCTTATACCTGTAGGGCTTTGTACACTGAAATGGACTCTCTTTCATCCTAACAGATTTATTGGAAGGTTTCAGAAGACAAAAAACTAAAATGTGCTGACAAAGGAAAATCAAAACAGGTAATTCCTGTTGCAAGCTGAAGCAAAACAGACAAAAACCCACAAGTCTATTTCTCAGTTCTTTTGCTCTTCTAAATGTGTTCCTTCCTGAAATGTGGGCATGCACTCTGCATAAGATTTCTAGTAGTATTGGGTGAGTCATTGTGACTTAGGCCTTTAAAAGGCAGTAATAAACATATTACAGAAGTTTGATGAATGTTTTTTTTTTAAAGATTAACTAAATTGAATTTATTTAATGGTCTGAAATGGTAGTGACAGGAAGTGATTTCCAGTGCTTACTGACTCATGTTTGTCCCATCCCATGGGCATTGTGAGGGTCACTGAGATCCTGGATCCATCCTCCTATAGCCTGGATTGGTCAGACTATTTCTGTCTCTGAAGCACATGGGCAGGGTGTAGCTGGTGTGTAGACACCATGGGCATTTGGAGGTCAAACAAGACAGGCAGTTTGTATGCAGGGTTCAGTGATGTGAACTGACACTGGTGCCAAGCTTGTAGCATCTGTGCTTGGAAATGAAATGTGTCACTTATTGGAAGTGCCCTGGCAGCATAATGGATTAAACATTGGACTGTTAGCACAAGGTTGGTGGTTCAAACCCACTAGCCCCTCATTGGGAGAAAAATGAGGCTTTCTGCTCCCATAAAGATTTACATTCTCAGAAACCTCTGGGGCAGTTCTACTCTGCCCTTATAGGGTTTCTGTGAGCTTGAATCAACTTGAAAGAAGTGGGTTTTGGTAATTTGCTGGACGGTGGAAGGGGGTGTATGTCTGCTCATATGTATACCTTTCTCCCTTACAGACGGAATGCCTGAACTACATCCGAGTACTACAACCACTCGATGCTAACACTCTTTATGTGTGTGGCACGAATGCGTTCCAGCCAACCTGTGACCACCTGGTAATTGGACACATCCATTTATACAGTGCAACCTGGTTATCCATTAAAGCAGAACGACGCTTGGGGCACGGGAAAACTGGTCTCCACCATAAGAAGAAAGCAGTGGGGTTTACTAATAGCTGGCCCTTTCAGGATGGAGGACAGCTTGGGGGCCCCATCAGAATGCCCTGTAAGGCTGGCTGTCACCCACCTCCTCTGAGCTCCAGTGTCCTCATCTGTCTGTCAGTGTGACTGAGGGCACAGGCATGGCACTGTGCAGAACTCAGTGCAGGGGGATGTATAGAAACTGTTAGGTTACCATCCCAACATCTTCCCACTCCTCCTCTTCATCTTTGTGTTCTGTGAGGGGGACTTGGCAGAGATACCTGTCTGTCGTGATCTGCAATGAAAAATGAAAATTTCTGCACCTGGACCTGCACTTTTGGTCTTTGCATCTCTGGAGAAACAATCCATTTAATGCAAATATAAGAGAGAAACGTTGACTTCAGGGGTTGGTTCCCATGATCGAGGGGACTGGCTGGAGACTTCAGGCTTGTGTCCCAGGATGCATAGGTTAGGTGACAGGAAGTGGGCAGAGTGGAGCAAGCGTTCTGACAGAGTAGTAGCTGTCTCCAGTCTGGGAGCAGACCACACCCTAAGGAAGCTCTCATTTTAACTTGTTGGATGGTTATGTTGCATTGTGGAAGGTGATTACATTATATAAAATTTCTTTATGAAACAACAAGTAACTGTAATTGGTCAAACGATTGGTATTGTATCCTAACCAATTTGACACAGTTATCCGTTGCGTGCCTGCTGTTGAGATTCCCCTTGGGGCACAGATTGCCACTGGACTATGTTGATTGGCATCTGTTCACCCTTGACCACACGAGTACACTGAGCTGTCTTAGAAGCAGGGTGCATCTTCGATCTCTTATGTCCATCAGAACCTTCCTGTGTGCTCAGGATCCTCAGGAGATGGGTCTTCCCCAATCCACATTGGCGTTTCACCACTGTTTTCTCACTTTGCTTTTCTGAAAAGTAGAATTTCACTATAACCTCTCGCTGGGAGAAAGTTTTTGTATTCAGAAAATCTGATGAGTTTAACAGTTGCTGAGCTAAGGAGCACTTTAAGTACATTTAAGAATTGAAAATGAAACATACTTTCTTCTGCCCATCCTTATTTTAATGAGCACCTTGTGTAAAATATACTGTGGTGGTGAAGCTTAGTATGCTAGAACCCTAATTTAGTTGGAATTTTAAAAATTATTCCTAACTCTGAGTCAGAAGCAAATGGCAGTAACCCCAGAGATGGAGGCAGAAATGACATGGCGAGATAGAGCAACTGAAGACTCTAGACTCAAGGAAAGTTAAAGACTGCATGCTGCCGGCCAGGAGGCTGGTTTATATGCCCTTTGGTTGTTTTAACAAATATATATTTCTGTGTATTTTGTGTACATTAAAAAAAAAAAAAAAAAAGGGAATATAGGCAAATACTGTTAACTGATGGTGCATGGAGGGGATTGTAATGATTGCACGGAAACAAGATGTGATTGGTGGAGTGCAAAACTGATGTTCTGCCACATAAACTATCACTCAATTCACAATAAAAGCTTTTAAAAAGAGAAGCAATAAAAAAGAGAGAGAGAGAAGCAAATGGCATGATAAAGTGTGGTTCATCAAGAATTTGGATAGGAAATATCAGACTTGTGCATACACCTCTGGGGTGAGATTCAGGTGGGACCTTCAGGTGTCTGCACTTCTGTATAGGCCCCCGTATAGGCATGCTCTGGAGTACTTACAGTCCTCACGGGGGGGGGGGGGGGGGGGGCTTTGTTTCTTTTTGCTTAAGAAAACGGGTACTGAGTCTATTTGAGCAGCAAGAGTTTGCAGGCTAAACTTTAACCAGAAGCTTCAAGTATTGCAGTTTAAGCTTAAATTCCATAGATAATGTCAGTTATTGAAGGGGAAGTATGTTTCATTTAAATTTATGGATGTCCTTTTCAATTTTAATTTAAAAGTGTTAAGCCTACAGAAAAGTTGGTTACTGGTATCTGTCCTAACCGAGATTACACAGATGGGAGCATTTAGCCGATTTTGCTATAATGAACACCTGCATGCATGTGTTAGCTACCCATGCATCTCCTAAGAATAGTGGCATCTTGTTATTAACTCTAGCTTCATCACTGTATCTAAGAAGTTCTCAAGCAGTCCCCCAATATTGTGTAGCATATCCACTCCAGACTTTTCCAGCAGCCCTCAAAAGTCCCTTAGTAACACGGTAAATGGATCATATCACGTGGTATCCCCCAGTTCACCTTTTCTTATCAGATAGGTGAGAATGTGTTTTAGTTGATGTGTTAAGCATGTTAACAATCTTTCCTCCTGTGTCTATTGCTATTTCTGTGTCTGTAAACCCTGGGCAGGGCACTCTTACATGTCTATGATCAGCTTCCTCCCCTGCAGCTGGTGGAAGCTCCTTGCAAGGTCATCCTGGCTGTAAGGTGGAAAGTGACACTCAACCTTTTGTCTTCATACCCCTTAGGTTTACCACCCGTCTTCTGCCTATGGTGCCCAAGTGGACCTTTTCTTTTGCAACTTGCTGCTTTTAACAGTTCTTCTCCCCAGATACTCCTCCTTACTTGTCTATACAAATATGTTGTTGTTATGTGCCGTCAAATCGGTTCCAACTTATAGCAACCCTATATAGTGTTTTCAGAAAGCAGCTGGTGAGCTTGAACTGCCAGACCTTGCAGTTCAAACCGACCTTGTAGTTCCAGCACATTAACCCGCAGTGCTTCACCAGGATGTAAATACCTCATCTGTCATCTGCAAGCATTTCCTCCCATTTGTCACTTGTCATTTAATGTTTCGCTTTTTTCTGGCACAAAGAGCTTTCCTGTTTTCTATGTCTTCAGGTCTGTGCATTTTTCCTTGTATGGTTTTGAGCTTTCTCGTCAGGTTAAGAAAAGACTATACCAAGATAGAAACACATACCATCCTTTCGTCCATTGCAGCGTGCTTCCTTTCTTAATGTCCACATCACTGAGCCCAGTGGAATATATTTTGATGGGTAGTTGTTGTTGTTATGTGCCGTGGAGTCGGTTCCAACTCATAGCGACCCTGTACAGGGTTTCCAAGGCTGTAAATCTTTATGGGAACAGAAAGCCTCATTTTTCTCCTGCGGAACATCTGGTAGTTTCAAACTGCTAACCTTGCAGTTCACAGCCTGATGCATAACCACTACGCTACCAGAACTCCTTTTTTATGGGTAGAGTAAGATAGGAATTCAGCAGCTTTTTCTTTTTGTGTTTGTTGTTCTGTTGCCACATGCGATGCATGGATTTCTCATCTCTTACTGAGTGTTCTAGAGTATCAGCATTCATCCCCACTTTACAGATAAGTAAATGGAAGAGTCTTAGATTGTGCACATAGCATGGCCAGCGTGTCACAGTAGGTACATTGAGGGCCTGTCATCCAAACCTGAGCTGAACAACACCGGTGCAGCTCTGGAGGTCAGTATTCACCTGGTTTGTCACACACTTGCTCTTCCCATGGTCTTCCAGGAATAGCGAATCTGTAAAATTAAATGGTACAAAGATGCATTATTATTACATGACTTCCAAAATATGATGCTTTTTCTTTTTGTTCAATGGTTACTGTAGAGCTTAACACCCTTTAAGTTTCTGGGGAAGAATGAAGATGGCAAAGGAAGGTGTCCCTTTGACCCAGCACAGAGCTATACGTCCATCATGGTCGGTGAGTTCTGCCCCTCATGACGTCTTCACTGAAGATACCAAGTGGGACAGCATGTTACTCAGGCAAAACAATGCATTGTTCTTCTTTGCTTACAAATACTCTCTGTTCTTCAATGTAATATTAGCTGTCCTTACAGAAGGTACATGGGACTTTACATATAACAATTGCTATCAAGTTGATCCCAGTTCATGGCAACCCTGTATGTGTCAGAGTAAAACTGCTCCCTGGGGATTTCAGTGACTGATTTTTTTTTTAGGCATATATAATAATTTACATCTCCAAAGGGCACATTCTACAAGTCTGCTCCTGCCCACCAGTTCTTAGTCCTTCTCTTCTTAATTGATGAATCTAGAGTCCTCAGCAACTCAGCCACTGCCCCTCTCCATGCCTCTATCCCTGCCTCCATCTCTGGCGCTGCTGCTTCTCTGGATAAGGTCCCACATTCTATTTGTGCATTCTTGATGGTCATAGGGTCCTCTGTTTCTGGACTGTAAGATTAACCACTCCCCTTTAACCACTCCCCTTTTTTTGTTATAAAACTTCTACCTTTACAAGTGTGACAGTTACGATTAGTCATGATAACAGTTATTCACTATTGAATCTTACAAATCTTATCCCCATCTCCTTTCACCAGACCCATCTAGACAAGATGATAGCTTTTCAGTGGG